CGAGCCCCTTGGTGTTACACCACAGATCCCACAGTTCGGTGGGAATACTGCAACATCGAGCGGTGTGACAGCAAGCCCAGCACACAAGAACCCCCTACCAATCCAACAGAGCCTGCAGCTTCTCAATCCACTTCTCAGGAAACAGGTTTATCCGTCTACAAGCTAACAAATTAATTAAATGTCAAGAGTACCATAGTATTGTCTAAGGGTATGAGTTACAATGTGCTTTGTTTCTTTTTGCAAGATTGTAAGGTTGGCAACGGAGAAACTTACCGGGGTCCCACATCCACTACTATAGTGGGAGTGACCTGCCAAGCATGGAGTTCTATGACCCCCCATCAGCATGCCAGTTTTACCCCAGAAACACATCCAGACAAGGGTCTAGAGTCGAATGTAGGTCTATGCAGAATTTTTAGCATTTTTGAGGGCAGTAACTGACATTTTAATAGTGTTTACTTGGCTACTTTGTTAGCAATGCAGAAACCCAGACAATGATGTGAATGGACCTTGGTGCTATACAACAGATCGAAATAAGAAGTGGGATTACTGTCAGATCCCAGACTGCGGTAACAATTCTTAATATTCCTCTTTAGAAAGTTTTGACTCCAATGGCAAGGGAAATTATCTTATACTTATTGCTGTTACTGGGGCTTAAATACAAACTTTTAAATACAAAATTACTTTCTAATCAGATGGCCTGAAATGCGGACAACCAGCAGTAAAACCAAAGCGGTGCTTTGGGAGGATCGTTGGGGGATGTATTTCCAAAGCACACTCATGGCCTTGGCAGATCAGTCTTAGGACCAGGTAAACAAATACTGTCAAGTGTTTTCACCATTTACAAAGTTTCAATGTGCAGAACTCTCCCACTTGATAAGACAGCCCACTACAAGAATTCCACCGGATTCCACTCATTGACCATACTTGCTTTCTTTTATTTTTCCAGATTTTTTGATGCAGTGATCAATCAGCCAGTCATTAATCAAGCAGTCATTAGCCAAGCAGGTGAAAAACCTTTAGACAAATACAAACACCACTGTAAGAGCACTAATAAATATAATCAAAAATACCAAGCAAAACTTGTATACAAAGTGTTCTTTTTTTTTATAAATTACCATAAAGAATATCATAAGTAGACAACAGATATTGAACCATTTATATACTTTTACATACCAAATACACTGTTTTTTAAATAAATGATTTTAAACATCCTTTTTACAACTTTTAATTTAAATATACTCTCTATATAGAAAACCAGACCTAATTCACAAACCAAACTAATACAAAACTAATAATATTCAAATACAACATAATTGAACAAAACAACCCATGTACAAAATATTAAAGCTCACCGGCTGCTTCTTCAGTTTGTTGTAGTAGCTTAACTCTGCACAAAAAGGAATCTTTTCTTTGTCCAAACCACTGCTACTCTACATAAAGTCTGTTCTGCCCTGCTAATTAATAGATTAACTTAATTACCTTCACCTGGTGTTCTCTCACTAGTGAATTCTAGTGCACTCTGGCTAGTGCACTGTAGTTAGGAAGGGCGGAGCAAGAGCAACCAACAGTTTGCCACAACAAATACGCTACCTTTCTCTACCCCTGTACTCATTAACAGGCAGAAAATAAATTGTATTTATCAACCATAATTGTCTGTCATACCAGAGGCAAAATTCATTTCTGTGGTGGAACGCTAATTGATGCCCAGTGGGTCCTAACTGCTGCTCACTGCCTAGAGAGGTAAGTGACTGTTTTTGTTAATCGTTTGAAAGCACAAAAAGGCAAATAAAGAGTTAATATTATATGGAATTTTATCGATATAGGAGTACAAACGTGCAGTGGTTCTCACTTTGCTTCTGGGAATTCACAACCCTGTACATTTTGTTTGTCTGTGGACCTCTGAACTGGAGTTGACAACCATGCACTGCACTAGCATATAAATGACCTAAAAGCCCCAAACAGACATGGAATAAAAACCAACTCTTAATGGGTTCATACAGATAAATGTGAACATACCATTATGCAGGTCTGAGAGTCCATCTGCCTACAAGATCTTGCTTGGAATCCACACAGAACGTGCAACTCAATCATCAAAACAGGAGCGAGATGTTTCTAAGATTATTAAGGGACCAGCTGGAACTGACATCGCTCTTCTTAAATTGGACAGGTTAGTCTTCTGTTCCCCGCTGTTCATGTCTGTAACTGTTGCATTGCCCGTGCAATTGAAATAACACACTGAATTACAGACATCTAGTGAAGTCTGAAATGTTTTAGATGTTTAAATACAACAGTTAATTCCCCAACACTGACTCAATTATTGGCATGAGTTTTTGGTGGGAATTTCTGTTTGTTTGACCAATGGCAGATGGAGAGTGATCAGGAATCCTGATTAAAAATAGTCTTTGCAGTTCCAACTGGTGACACTAGTGGTCCAAAATGTACACACTTCTCTTTTAAAGTGCCCCTATTATGCCATTTTTAAGGTTCCTACAATAGGTTCACAATGCATGCCAGGTCAAAAAACACTTTAATTTTCTCAAAATATCACTTAATTTTCCAAAGATTCTAAAACAATTCATTCAAAGCAGTTATAAGATTAGTCTCTCTAGTCTAAACCTTTTCCGTAAGCCTACTCTGCTCTGATTGGTCAGCTGGCCCAGTCTGTTGTGATTGGTCTACCGCGTACAGCGCGTGTCGGAAACGATATGCCCATTTCCATAGTTCCGTATTTTGAACGCTCGATAGTAAATAAAAACATCTATTATTTCTCATACTAACAGGTTGTGATTCAGTGGAGCCAACTGGTCCAAATAAACCGGGTACTGAGCCATCTTTCAAGAACAAGCGCTTTGTGAATCCCGCGTTGAACTCCCCGAGATTAGAGAAGCAGACATCAGTAAAATAACGGGAACACAAAAAAGATTGGGGTTGGTACTGCTGTGGTACAGTGGAAAATTTTTTATTTTAACCATTGATTCTTTGCAGCCTCATCATTCTGAAGTGAAAATAAAACTAATTTACTTCCACAGCATAGGCCACAGCGTCTTCTCGAAATGATGTTAACCACACAAACAAGCTACAGTGTTTGTGGGCGGGGTCAAGTTGTTCGCAGCCAGACCATGCAGAAATAGGCGGGATTTATGCAAATGTGTTACCCCGTGATATGTAGCTGAAGTGAGATTCGAATTACTGACGACTCGTTTAGGCTGTTCAGAGTCTATTCTTTGTTTTGGGAGACAATAACTTTATTTTTCATGCACTTTCGGCTTTACAACTTCGGGGTTTTTTTTTCAGACTTCGCAGATTGTTTACTTTCACATACAGCTACATTATACACTGCATGAAAGGCAATATTCAAAATGGCATAATAGGGGCACTTTAAGTATTATTTGACTTCGCTACTTTGTGTTAAATTAAATGCAGATCTGGCTTTTGAAACTGTAGTCTAGTCTAATATAACAACCTCATTTTATTTATAATGACATTAAGACAGCAAACTCATGATTGTATCCAATTTTAGGCCTGCATTAATAAACGATAAGGTATTGCCTGCTTGCCTACCAGAAAAGGACTACATTGTACCAAGCAATACTGAATGTTATGTAACAGGCTGGGGGGAGACAGAGGGTAGGTCACTTTAATAAGTACATATAGCCAAATGGATTCTTTATCTTTACTGTTTAAAACCCTTTTTGACTTCTATAAAAAAAGATTTCATAGCTTCAAGTCTATCTGTTTCCTAGAAACTGGTGGAGAGGGTTTCCTAAAAGAAACCGGCTTCCCTGTAATTGAGAATAAAGTCTGCAACAGTCCAACATATTTGAACGGCCTTGTGAAGGAGCATGAGATGTGTGCAGGAAACATAGGAGGTGGAACGGACAGTTGTCAGGTAAGGGAGTGTGGACTACAGTCACATTAGAAAAAAATGACTTTAGGTTCTTCTAGATTCAATGACTTCATTTGCTCAATTCCAAACCCTAGTGAGCTGCCTACCTAGACAGCATTTTAGGCATAATCATGAATACGAACATTAGAAGCCTTATAAAGTGCCTTACTTGGGCCAAATTTTAAGGAAGAATTGCATATGTTTCTCACTGATACAGCAATCCCAGAATGTGTTTCAACAAACTACACTTTATTCGGTACTAGACAATAGATCCATCCGAATGAGATTTGAGATCAGAGTGACAGATTTTCAGTGAATAGCAACTTAAATTGTAACCTGTTCCTCACACTCATTTAGGGTGACAGCGGTGGGCCTCTAGTCTGCTACTCACAGAACACCTTCGTCCTTCAGGGAGTGACATCATGGGGTCTTGGCTGTGCTAAGGCCATGAAACCTGGAGTGTACACCCGCGTCTCCAAGTTCATCAACTGGATAGAGCGCAGCATGAAAGAAAACTGAGAATGGAATAGTCAAAACTTAAGCAAATGATGTGTGGAATTTAAGTGTGCAACCAAGAATGGAATAATGAAAATGTTATTGATTCATAAGCTGTTGTAAAGTAACACACCCTGTTCAGAAATTCAGCCCACTTTCAGTGTATACAGTTAGATGCACATGCTGGATATGCTCCAATTCCAAGTGATCATATTTTATTACAAAACTCTTCAAAGACCCTAAAATGTTTTCCTACATTAAAGGGGCGGTAAACATCTTTAGAGAAAGTCTCTTTATTTGTGCTCCAGCTTTGCTGTTACAGTAACAATGCTCTAAAATGTTCAAACCCTAATAAGTGACAAAACAAATAAGTACAATAACATTTACTATTAGCATGAATAATTTAAGCCAACATTTTAAAACACATAGATATTTTACTGAGTTATTTTAAATTTTTTTAAATAAACATTTTGGGCAAAAATGTATTTTAAAAATGTAAAATTAAATCACAATAACTATCTAAGAGAGAAAAAAATACAGTAACTACAGTCAATGACAAATCTTCAGTTTGGGAACAATAATTACAGTTTGGAACAATTAATGGTCCTCTGAATTTTTATTTTTTTTGCCTTTATTACTAAATCAAATTAATATTTTTAAGTCTGAAAAGATTCAAATTGTTCATTAACTTGTATTGGAATGGCAAAACTTGTTGATTAATAAGAAACTGATTTCAATTTGTATATTTTGATTAAATCCTCAAAAGAGAAGGGATAAGCAGCATCACTTAATAATAAAGTTAAGGAGGTTGCTGTTTTCTGTCTCAGCTCAATCAGACTGCTGTAACTTCTTTGTTCGATGTCACATCAGAGGGCAGCAAATTCTCTAGCTGTTGCCTCTTCAGCTGGTTTTCTTTGCTTCTGCATGTACAGTTCACATTTGTGAAGAAAGGTTCAAGGTGACAAAGGTTATCATGGCGAACATGTGCAGGAAGTAAAACCCTCACCTGTTTGGACAGTCAATGTCATCAATGGTTTCTGGAAGAGGCACACCTTTGGTTTCAGGTAACAGCAGAACCAGTCCACCGGCCACAAACGCAAGAGCACCTGTGAGAGAGAACATTCACTTCAACAGCTTCACGCTGCAACTAGAACACACTCAACGTCACAATATCATGGCCAAGGGTGACATGTGTTTGTTTATTTTTTAGTGTATTTTCTGTGTAGCGTACAGAGGGGGCCAGGGTTCAAATGCTGCAATTATATATATATATATATATATATATATCATCTTGTAATGAACTGCAAAACTGCAACTGAATTTGATTGGTACCCACTGTATATATATATATAGATTCTTGACATTAAATATTATCTGTGATGCATAATGAAAAAAAAAAAACATGTTCACGTTGCATTATAACTTACCTGATAACGGTGGGATATAGTTCAGTATTCACAAACACAACCATTTCAAAAGCCATAGTGATGCCCAGCCGTCCAACATATATATATATATATATATCATCTTGTAATGAACTGCAAAACTGCAACTGAATTTGATTGGAATCAATGTAGAAATGTTGATCCAATGGGTCACGGTTTGTCTAGTTAGCATGACCAGCCCCTGGTGCTAGATGCTGTAACTACAACATTCAGGAATTAAATATATATATCTTTTAGTATATCTATACATTAACATATATTTTGCCTATTTTTACAAGAAACATAAATGATATATACATTTATACACACACACACAAACATACATACACACGCACACACACACACATATATATATATATACACACACACACACGTTTTGCCAATGCCAATTTCACTGTAGGTCTTTTAAAAGTCTGAAAATAACTTTAATTTTTCTCTGCTGCCTTTAATGTCACTCCTCAGGATAGTTTCTAGTGAAGTGTTTGGGAGTGTGTGTGTGTGTGTGTACCATCAGCCAATCAGCTGTCAGGATGTAATTTTCCTGCATCTCAAGGTTAATTAGTTACATTTGGTGACATCTGACAATACAAACAATACAGTTTGTGTGCAAAATACACATCTGTTTTTGTACCGAAAATAATGAGAGGTAGTTCTAGCCAGATGACAGCAAGCCTGTAGAGCAGGAACGGTGCTATAATCCCGCCAATGTCACACAGTGTGGAACAGACCGAAACACCCAGATTTCTGAGCCAAACAACATCAGAGAGTAGCATTACTGACCAACCTGATCCTCATTTACATACAGTACGAAAGTCTATAAATTATATATATACAGTGGGTACGGAAAGTATTCAGACCCCCTTAAATTTTTCACTCTTTGTTATATTGCAGCCATTTGCTAAAATCATTTAAGTTAATTTTTTTTCCTCATTAATGTACACACAGCACCCCATATTGACAGAAAAACACAGAAAATACAATTTAAAGTAAATATACATAATAACATCCCTTTTTTCAGTCAAATTTAATTATAACTTCAAATGATAACCCACTGTCGGGGATGAACGCTGTGATTAAGCAGGCCGCCCCTGCCACGATATTTGCAGCTGCAAAAGGAAGCCGTCGACCGATCCGCTCAATAGTGAGGAGGATGAGGAAAGCTGCAGGCAATTCCACGATTCCAGATATGAGGAAGTCCACGTACACGTTTCCTCCGAGGATTCCCAGCCTCATAATGAGACCCTGGTAAACCACAGCACTGGTGAACCTGGTGATACAATGGACAGGTTACAGATACATGTTCACCCCACTGTACTTAAAGCTGCAGTCCGTAAGTTTTGCCTCTTTGTTGCCATCTCTGTTTGAAAACCTGCAATTGCAGCTGTATGCGGAATTATATTCCTTTTCGGGTTGTGCGCCAGCACGGCTCCAGCGCGGATGAATCTAATGTTTTGAGGAGTATGTGTGGCAGTCAGTTACCGCACCGGTGTGGATATTGTACTTTGCACTCACAGATTCTAGCCTACGTCTTGGAATATATGACTCAAGCATTTTCACCGGATATTATCATCTGAACAAGTAATGCCGAGTTCACACTGCACAATTTTCAAAGACGTCGCATCACTGTTGGTTTCACACTGAACGACTATCTGGGGTAGCATTCAGTTGTTGCTGTGTTCACACAGCACGATGGAACGACGACAGGAGGTTACACACTCCATGACTTTACAATAGGAAGAATCGCCGACAGCTCTGTCTGGTGCAGGGTTGCCAGGTTTTCGCTACAAAACCCACCCAATTACTACTCAAAACTAGCCTGAAAATAGCCCAATTGCTTTCGAGGGGGTCCCCCAGTAAAAATCGCATTTGGGGGGTAAAATACACATTTTTTTGGCGGGGTTCTCCTGGAACAATTCACATTCCAGGGCCTACATATCAGTTATTGGGGTCGCTTCAACCTGCTGACATAAAAAATAACCAGCGGCAATCGCGGATTTGGCAACACTGGTCCGCAAACTACGTTTCATATAACTCCTCCCCGAACTTCCCGCTGCCCTGTATCTTGGTCTCTCATTGGCTGTAGGTCATCGCCGATGTGTTTTTCAGTCAGAACTCATTTCACACAGCGTGATTGTGAATCGCCGACAGCTCCAGATATTTAGCATGCCAAATATTTCACGGGCGTCGGCGACGCATCGGCGATTCCCTCAGATCGCGTCTTTGATAATCCAGACTGCGTGATTGTCACTCGCGTGAACAAGCAGCAATTTGCCTCCGATTTCGGGCATTTGTCGGCGATTTCGCAAAACCTGTCGGCGAGTGAAAAATCGGACTAAAATCGTGCAGTGTGAACTCGGCATAAAGATACACTAAACATTGTGATACACTTTGATCAAATACATTGGGAGTAGAGAGTTTA